CTTTGTGATTGAGAGGGGGGGGGGAAGGAGCAGGTAATAGCAGAATTTAACATACTTGAAATCAAAGACCCCAACAAAACGTTTGTGGAAACACTTGAGGAGGGGATTACTGCTCCAGAGTTTCATACCAAGATACGGATATTGAGGAAGCCTTGACAAACGCAAAAGGCAAAGGGACTACAAGACGACAAAGGGGACGAAAAAGGAAAAGGCCAAGCAGAGGGAAGGAGAACAATCAGAAAAAGCTGCCGCTTCTGTATACGGTCGATCAGGATATCGGAGACCAGGAGTCGGCAGAATGGGGGTGGTCTATACCATCGAAAAAACAGGGCCCCCATAGACTTGTTGCAATACTGGAATATACAGTGAACAGAGGCTACCAGCTAAGAGACAATTCAGAAGACCCAGCGCAAGCCATTGCAGAAAGATGGCTAAAGCATGTGCAAACCCCATTGGATTGGATGGACCAATTTATCATGGGGTCACTATAATTCTATCAGGCGATTCCGGCCCCAGAGGTTCAGAGGGCTTCAGTGGCTCTTGATTTACCAAGCAGTCCCTGCGAATGAACGGTCCAACCACAGACGAAAAGAGAGTCTTAGAACAGAGGATTCCCCGCTGTGCAGGATGTGTGAGCTGCGAATCACGGAGTCCTTGTCTCACTGCTTTGTTGAATGCCAACATGCCGACCGACTCTGGCAAAAAGCCAGATCGGTATGGAAGAACTTATCTGCAAAGCAATTTCCACACGGTTCTTTCTTCATCCGTACAGCAAAGGACGGGCAGGACCAGATTCAGTCCGACCACTGGAACATGATATAGATTATGTAAGGAGAGCAGGGCTGTGGGTTTTATGGAAGGCCTTATGCAGTCTAACATTTGGGAATAAGGTGTTCTCTTTCCAGGACATGTGGACAGAGTTCAAGTATATGGTCGAGACAGGAATCCGTGCAGAATGAAAGATAGTGATGAGAGAACTGGAAACAGAGGTGGATGAACAGAACAGGTCTGCATACAGGGAAAAACTGAAGACACTTGGCAGTATGACGGGAGAATAGCAGAAATAAAACGCAAAATTGAAAATTGGCATGGAGAGATTTCTGGTTCAATTGCAGAGGAGCAAGAAGCAGAGAGAGAGGGTGGTAAAACCGTAACAGTTGTTAACAGACAGAGAATGTAAATTCCCTGGATGGGCCTAGCTCCAAAGTCATGTCTAACAGTTCACAATAGTGAAATGAGAGGGGACTTCTAGACAAATATGAAGAAGGGGGCTTTCGTAAACACTATGGACACAATGTTCAGGGGGTTAGAGCCACACTAGGAGCCACTCAAAGAAGGGGGTGAAAGCAGGGGCTGAGGGGTGGTACATTGCTCCAGTACAGGCAGCAATCAATGCCGCAATACGAGGAATGCGTAGTTTAGCCACATATGAACATCCTGCTGTGCCATGATGCTAAGTACTGCAGAGTGTATTTCAGCTTACATAGCCGTTAAGCAGCTTTAGATTGCCAAGCAAGGTAACATACCAACATTGTACATGACCATTACGCTAAGATTGAGGCCAAGTCTAACACAGCCTACTTAACCTCAGTCATATCATACTTAGTTCAGATTCAACACAGCCTACTTACCCTCCCAACCTTAAGCGAGCCTACTCAGCCTGAGTCTTAGCATCGCCTAGTTAGCTCCAGTCTTAACATAGCCATAGCCTACTTAGCTCCAGTCTGAACACAGCCATGGGCTACTTAGCCTCATGCTTAACATAGTCATAGCCTACTTAGTCTCAGCCTTAACATAGCCATAGCCTACCCAGCCTCAGTATTAACATACCCATATCCTATTTACTCTCCGCCTGAACATTCCCATAGCCAACTTTGTCTCAGCCTTAACACAGCCATAGCCTACTCAGAGCCCATAGCCTACTTAGCGCCCGTCTTAACATAAACTACCGGTAGTCTACTTAGCCTAAGTATGCTATGGGAGCATAATATACGCTCTCAAAGACTCAAAGCATATTATGCAGCTTACCTTGCCTAATACTACTCATTCGCCCAAAGTCGTGCTGCTATGTACCCATATCAGGTGATGACCCAAAGTCGTGCTGCTATGTACCCCTATCAGATGATGACCTCAAAGTCTTGCTGCTATGTAACCCCTGTCAGATGATGACCCATGCAGCTTCCGTTGGGGGTAGCACTTGCAGTACAGCAACTTGCGTGATGGAATTCTCTTCCTCCGTGGCACCAACATGCAACATTCACTATAGGAAAAGAGGGGGGGGGGGGGGGGGAAAAAAAAAAAAAAAAAAAAAAAAAAAAAAAAAAAAAAAAAAATTTTAAAAAGGGAAAAAAAAAAAAAAAAAAAAAAAAAAAAAAAAAAAAAAA